AACACTTACTTGAACGGAGTGCTGGAGCATTAGAGCGTAGTTCTCATACTCACTATACTCAGCATTTCGCTCCAGGTCCCCTGGAAGGAGAAGAGCGGTGCTGAGGGCGACACCGACGTTAATGTCGTCGGCGCTTTCACTAGACATGATTGGCCTGTCCTCCAAAGTAAACTTTGGGGCCCAGGGTCGGGTTTTTTGGACCCCGAAGCCGTTGCAGAGGACGACCTCGCTTTCTTTGACTTTGAAGATTCTGATGGCTGGGCCTCAGCAGACCTCTTGGCAGAAGCAGAAGCACTCTTTTTACTCTCAGCCAATTGGGAGATGGGCAGAGCATCCTCAACCTCAACCTCAGTGGCTTTGGCCTTGGGCTGAGCCTTTTTTATTCTTTTTGGCTTTGGTGGGGGTACGGATTGAGTTTGAACAGCATCAACGTCGGCAGGTAGATCGGCTAAAAGATCTACAGCAACAGGCTTCGGGCGACCCATCTCAGCTGTTTTGACAAGTCGTCGCCGACGTTTTCTTTCTGGTATTGGGATTAAGTATGGGGCTGAAGTTGATGGTTGGTCGGCTGGATCAGAGGTTGACCCTTGGTCAGCCCGAGATGTTAATGCAGTTTGTAGAGTGGTAGCAGAGGGAGGAGATAGGCTCTTCTTCTTTCTTTTCGGGACGTCGGGCAGTGTAGACTTGTACGTCGGAATAAAATTCAGTACCAGTGGAGCCTTGCGCTTTTGGATTGACAGATCTAGGAGTTTCTTTAAACCTTCACCTGGAAAGTAGGATTGGCGGAAGCTTTTCGGTGGCTGATGAAGATCTGCAGGACAAACAAACGGACATTACAAATAGAAAGTATTGAAGACTTGAAAATAAACAACTAAGTATTGACGCTGGGCTCTTACCCTTGCCCTCTTTTACTGTTCGAGGAAGAGGGTAAATATGGACATCTTCATCTGGGCCGAACTCCCAATTTCCCGAAGCAATAACATAGTCATCCCCAGCCCCCTTGTTGGAGTCTGGGAGGTCGGCTATAATTTTGAATTCGGTGGACCTCGGCTTGAGGTAATAGACGTAACCTTTTTCCTTCAGGTTGAGGGGGCACATGGTATAACAATATTGGATATCAGCAAGGGTGATCCTGACATTTTCCTGCCTAGCTAGGGTTATGATACCATTAATCACTCGATAGGAGTTGATGGTAAGTTGCATGGGGTTTAACCTATAGTAGTGGAGAACTTCGCGAAAAAGGGGATTAAGCGGAAGCCGGGGTCTACGTTCAGTAAAGGCTACAATAGGAAAAGGTATCGTACTATCTGTAGGCATAATGGAATCGTCATCCCCAGCTAGCCTAAGGTGAACATCGGCAGGGATGGAGAACTCCTGCCTAAAGTATTCGAGTTTGGTTGGGGTATTTACCCTATGTCTCCACATACCCATAATTTCGGCGCAAAGGAATTTGATTACCAAGGGAAGATGTTCTTAAAGGGTTATAGGAACCTCGGCAAAAACCTATGTAAGTATTGGTACGGATTGTTTCAGTTTTTTCTAAAAATTGAAGGTTCTACAAACAAATCCCAAGCCTAAGAGCTATGAAGATGAAGATCAAAGGCATAGATCTGGAAAGGAAAAATAGAAAATAAGAAACAAAAGAACGACGTTTCAGAATCAAAGAACAGATGTATGGTTCTCAAAAGCGAAAGAAATACAGAAGTAAAAGGTCAAGAACAGTGGCAAGAAAAGTGTTAAAACATTATAAGTGTTCAAGACATAAGCAAAATCATGGAATAGACGCATCCATATGAATATTTCAGCAAATCAAAGGTTTAAACAAAGCAATAATGGAAGCAAGTAAACGAAAGCACATAGAAGAAATTGAGAATAAGAAGAACAGAGGCTTACCAGAACAAATGAAGCCGGAATGAAAGTCGCCGAGGTAAGGCAACGGTTGCAGACACGACGGAGCGGTGAAAGCTTCGCTGGAATGGAGGAATGAAGACGGTTGCAGAGCTTGGAGCTAGAGCAATGGCGGATTTGAGAAAGTTTAGAGAGAGAGAGAGAGCCAGAAGATCGAGTGCAAAAGTAAAGAAGTAAAGAGGGAAAGAAAAGTTTTATCAAAAACTTAAAATGGCGGCAAAACACGGCATTTATTGCGCCTGGAAGAACGCATGCGTCAGATGGCACGGACGGATGAAAGACGACTTACAAGCGCGTCACAGACACGGGCCAATGAAGATAGAACACGTAAGGGGAACGGTTGAGAAAAGGTGCATGACAGCTCATGCGCGTGGGGGAGTTCGTTTGTGTTCTTGTTCTCTGACGAAGGCATGTCCGCCTAACGTGAATGATCTCGGCCGAGAGGTTCTTACGCCGACGTACTGGAAAGAGGAACGATATAGGTTCCATCACCTCAGAATGTGCCGAGGTAATAAAACTTAGGGGGTAGTTGTGGGGATATATTTTCTGAGTACCAACACGTGGCATGGTGACGCCGACATGTCAGCCGAGATGCCACGTGTCGTGGTAGTTATGCCGAGGTTATCTTGGCGAAGTCGAGATTATCTCCGAAGATATTGGAATCCGAGATAAGCGAATAAGGGACAAGGGTCCTAGAGTAAAGAGAAGACTTAGCCAAGATAAGGATAAAACTCTTAGGAAGTTTATCTTTATCTCTTGAAGAGTCCAAAGTCAGTATTGAATAGGAATCCATAGAAGTCATGCTTCTAGTGGGACTTGGATTGAGTTAACTATAAGAGAGAGGCACCCCCGTGGGTCTAAGGTACGCAATTTATGTTTTGAGCAATAAGTTTAGCACTTGATTATCTTTGAGAGATATACTGACTTGATTGTCGGAGTGCCCCCGGGTGGAAGAACCACCGCCGGAGCCTTTTCTTTCTGTTACAGGTTAGCTGAAGCCATCTATTCTGCCGATGCTCTCCAGTTGATTACTAAGCGGGCAGTGTGGTCGGAAAATCACCCATACAGTGATTTTAAATGATCCCACAGTTCACACTGTCCACATTAATTAACTGGAGCTAGAATATTTTCAAAATTTCCCATAAAACCTTAACAAAATTAAAAATGAAAAACATATATGATTCTCAAAGTATATACTTGATTGGAAAAACATATATGATTCTCAAAGTATATACTTGATTGTATTTTGCTCCCTAACCACAACTATTAAAAACAAGCATAACCGAGTCATAACCAAGTTAATATGCCACAATCAATATTATAATGAGTCATAACTAACACCACAATTAGTCAAAATCGAGTCATAACCAAGTTATAAATAAAACCACAATGTCATAACCAAAAATGACAAATATCATAATTGGGACATATGATAAACACTCCCAAAGAGTGGGTGTATTATAAAACTTTCCTGTATATAAGAGAATAACTTATTTATGACTGTTCTGTAAACTAAACAGTTTATGGGTAGCCATTCATAATGTTGCACGTCAATTATAATAGTGCTCGACATATGTGTGATTAGTGGAAGAGATCAATTTTACGATTTTATGTTAGATTATTAAAAAATATAAGGGGTATGCGAGTTTGTGATTCACCTAGAGTATGACAGTGCCCCCAACTAACCAATAATTTTTCGTTTACCTCACCTCACCTCTGTACCTTTTCATTTATCCCGTCTCTCGCTCTCTCTAGGGAATTCAGCAATGGTGAGTTTGATACTGGTAGTGGTGGGTTTGGGTTTAGGCTTGGGATAACTATTGATGAATGATTTATCAATTTGACGAAGAATATAAATCAATAATAGATACAGTGAGTATATGTTTGGGTTTGGGTTTGGGTTTGAGTTTGGGATCCAACAATGTAGTCTGTTGGTGGCAGTAATGGTCGGTTTGGGGTATTGGTGTGGGTTTAGATTTGGTGTTGACGAAGGGTTTGTCGTGGTGGTGTTGATCTCTGGCGGTGATAGTGGTTGGGGTAGAGCTAAGGCGGAGAGAGGGGATGTAGGTAGATAGCGATGGATAAGGCAAAGAGAAAGGTAGGGAGATGATCCAGTGTAAGCGAGGGTATGTTTGTCTATCAAATTTTCTCTTCTTGAGATATTGAAAGCTAATATGGCAATCAGTAATTGGTTGTCCATAAACTACCGTCTTTATGGGATAGTCGTGTATAAGGCAACCTTATATATTAATGCAGGTAGCATTCCTAAGTCTGACCCATTTAATAAACCAAACTAAAAAGTCAATCCGGCCTAGCCTTATGAGCCTATATATCAATCGCAAACCCATGAAAAAGCATACTAGAATGGAATGGGTGATTAACAAGGCGGTGATCACACTTAATGTTTAGGGAAGAAATTGATAAAATTAAAATTTTGAAGATCAAAGTGACACAAAACAGATATTTGAGGAACTATATATGCAATTTAGATGGCACAATTGAAACTGGATCAATTTAACTCAAATATGAAAGTTTTGAGACAAAATTGACAAAAAAAAATATAACTTGGAAAACCAAAATGACATAAAACACATATTTTTAAGAATAATAACAAAACCAAAAACAAAGAACAAAGAACAAAAATTACAAAAACAAAGGGCATAACAATTTAAGATAGAAAACAATCATTATTCAATTGAATTTACATGCACACTTGCTGACAGTTGTATTATGTACAATTAGTATGAACTCCACTATCACCTTGGCACAGTCCTCTAATTCTCAACAGGTTTGGCACTGTCCTCTAATTCTTAACTGGTTTGGATTGCTTATATATATATATATATATTAGTGAAAGTCAGTTATTAGTTCTTAACTAGTTTGGATTGCTTCTTTCACAGTTCGCCGTAAATTACAAGCAATTGATACTCAAAAAATGGTTCAAAAGATAGTTGAAATTCTGCGATAGCTACTTACAACTAACTGCACACAAAACTTGATTATTAACTTACTTCATTCTAATTGTAGTGCCACTTGTCAAGCACATTCAAGAGATAAAATCAATGCATGATCGCACAAAATTTTTTGTGAGAATGTTTTGCTGGGAACTTCAGGATAAATCAGATTATTCATCAATCCTTAAAAAAGGCCTTTCTATTAGGGGCAAAAAATGGGATTCAAGAAATAGTAGAAGAGATCTTAGTGGTATTTCCAGATGCAATTTCTTGTGTAGACGAAGAGGAGCATTCTGCTCTCCATCTTGCAGTCATGTACCGTCGTGAAAATGTTTTCAATTTCATTATTCAACAAGTGGGAGTGCGTAAAAAATTATTGTTGAAAGTAGACAATGGAGGCAACAATATCTTGCACTTGGTTGGACGAATGCCATATCAGCCACAACTTGAAGTTATTTCTGGTGCAGTTTTACAAATGCAACGTGAAGTGCAGTGGTACAAGGTAATACATTTGTTTTGTGTCTAGGCAAAACATTCTCGAGTTTATATTACATCTTGATTTTTTTTTCTTGAATTCCCTACAAACAAGAGTTGTTATTTATCTCCTACTATTTGACAAAAGAAAGACAAAATGAGGAAAAAAAACTATAGGGAAGCTCAAGACATAACAAATAAGAAATTATTGATTTGCAGCGAAATAAAGGATATGGAACAAAATTTGTCTAGTTTTTATGGGGATACAAATGAATCATAGAAGCATGCAATTATTTCGTTTCATTATGTGTCATTTGCTTTTATAGAATTTCGTCAACTATTTTAGCTTTCAGTACCCAGTAATGTTACATGCATAGGAAAGTATAAATACTAGTGCTCCAAATAAATCTGAACATTTTTTGTGCACTTTTTAATGATATTTTTCTGTGCATGCATGATTATTATTTATTGGAATGCACCATGAACTTGCTTTCTCATTCCAAACTAACTTGACGGCATAGGAACTAGAAAAGCTTGTGCCGGTGCAGGCAACAACAACAATGAACCACGATGGAAAGACACCTATGATGGTATTTGAAGAGGACCATCGTCGTATGATCCAATCTGAACAACAATGGATTGTAAGCCTAGCAAGTGCATGCACTGTTTCAACAACAATCATTGGCACAATAGCATTTTCAGCAGCCATTCAAGTGCCAGGGGGAAACAATCCTGAAGGCCACCCAATCTTATATGAGGGAACCAACTTCACAATATTTGCCATATCAAATGCAGTTGCTCTATACTCGGCCATCTCCACATTCTTAATCTTTTTATTCATCTTCACTACACGCTATGCAGCAATTGATTTTCTATATTCCCTGCCCCATAGATTAATGATTGGCCTAATTTCCCTGTTTGTCTCTATAACATCCACTATTATAGCTTTCGGTTCTGCCCTATATCTCATGTTTTTCCAAGAAAGCAAACCTCTGATTCTTACTCCAATGGTCATAATGTCCTTTGGACCAGTGACTCTATTTGCTTTCTTACAATTTCCTCTCCTCCTAAATATGATGAAAACCACATATGGCCAAAGCATGTTCAACCTTTCGGATGGAAGAAATCATCAAAAAAAGCATAAGATTTTGAGCTTCCTTACATGTACGTTGTATCAAAATTGAAATGCAACATTGCTCATTTCATCGATGCCATAGCGAAATACATAAGACGAATAAAACTCTCCCTTTCCCCTTTTCTCCCTCTATAATATTAAATGTGTGCTTATGGGTAATAATTGTAAGCACTCTAATTGAGTGGTTAGTGAATGTGATTACTACTAAACTGTCTCTAATGTATCAAGTCTTAAGTTGTGTTCAGTGGTGGGTTGCTTTAGTTTGTTATTGGAGCATTCTCGTACAAGCGTTTTGTTACATTACAACAATAGCCTCTTGTGTGTGCTGAAATCTAACCAATTCCACAACCTCGGCCAATATTATCATGCCACATGGCACCTTGACCCGAAGTCATACCATGTACCCAAAATCTTGGACCCACATTGTCTTACTAAAAAATACATCTCTACAATTGTCCCTGAGTTCTCCTTGCACTTGAGAACTCTAGAGGAATGCAAATTCTTCATTTTGACTGAACTCAACCACTTCGAAAACACAATTGTCTTCATGATTTGCCCCTAACAGAGATTGTTTTCCTTCATCTTTTGAATTCTCATGCCCCTCAACGTGAGCATGTCATGATACCATGCTGCCCAATGTGAACATTACTCCAATCAATGCCCTCAAAGGGTATATTATCTCAACTCAAGAACCTAACTTCATTCGTGTCAATTCGGCTTGTCCGAATATTGAGCATCCTTATGTTCCTTCGAATGCACACTACAAGAAAAAACACTTTCTGTGACCAACATTTTGGACGCGAAAAGTATCATATTTGGTCGCTAAAACCTTTTCGTGACCAAAATATGTTGGTCGCGAGTTGGTCGCTTTTAGCGACCAAAGGCTTTTTTGGTCGCGGAAAGTCCAATTCATATTACCGAAAAGTAAACTTTTAGCGACCAAAGGTAAGTTGGTCACCAAAAGTCAGCGCCTTGACCCAAAAAATGTAATTCTTTTGTGCTGCCTGGGACTTGAACTCTTGACCAAAGAGTCACCATGCACCAATCCACTCTGCCAATAACATGCTTCTTGTTCATGTTTGGAAATAAAAATATATAACCCATAAAAATTGGGTTATTTATTATTTTATAAAATTTTTAATGCCTAAACAAAAAAATAGCATGTAATTATAGTAGTATCCTTTTTTTTAAAATTTATCCCGCCATAACTTTTCGCGACCAACTCTTCTTTTTGGTCGCTAAAGGGTAATCTTCCCCGACCAAAAAAGCCTTTTGGTCGCCAATAGTATACTTTCTGCGACCAACTTTTCTTTTTGGTCGCCAAAAGGTGATCTTTCGCGACCAAAAAAGCCTTTTGGTCGCCAATAGTATACTTTCTGCAACCAACTTTTCTTTTTGGTTGCCAAAAGGTGATCTTTCGCGACCAAAAAAGCCTTTTGGTCGCCAATAGTATACTTTCCGCGACCAACTTTTTTTTTTTGGTCGCCAAAGGGTATACTTTCCGTGACCAACTTTTTTTTTGGTCGCCAAAAGGTGATCTTCCGCGACCAAAAAAACCTTTGGTCGCCAATAGTATACTTTCCGTAACCAACTTTTTGTTTTTGGTCGCCAAAGGGTGATTTTCCGCGACTAAAAAATTGTGGTCGCCAAAAGTTAAATTTTAGTCGCAGAAAGTGGACTATTTGTGACCAAAAAAAATAGGTGGTCGCCAAAAGTGTTTTTTCTTGTAGTGGCACTGAAACATGTATTCGTTACCTCGGTTTTGACTTTTACCATTTACTTAAAAACATCACTTGCCATCAAGATTTTCTAACCTCGGGTAGACTCTACTCATTTCAGCTCTTCTCACCTCGGGTGAGCTCTTCTCTTTCTGAGTTCTACTCAACTAGGGTGAGCTCTTCTCATCTTGAATCTGCTTACCTATCAAGTGAGTTCTTCTCTGCAACCTTCTTTGCATGTTCTTTAACATCAACATCACCATTACTTTTGTTCTTCGCTCTTCGGGACTAGTTCCCCATCTTGACAGGTTTTTTTTGCATCATCATTGACTTTTTTCTCTTGTTTCCCACAAACATCCAAATTGTGTGTTAAAATCTGACCACACAATCAAATTTGAGAAGATTACCTCCTCCAGAATATTTGGAAAGGTTGTAATTGGTATTTGAGAGATGAATCTGCAAGATAGAACTGTCAGTGTCTCATCCGACCTGAGACTAAGTTAGTGACTTTCTCTCTCTAGAGAATACTCAATAGTACAAATACTGAAAATTATAATCAATTACTAGAACATACGTATCTCAACCCATAGGATTGTGCTCTTTATATAGGAGTGACTTGGCTAACCTTAGGATTCATTTTTCATCTAGGACTCTATTTGCTTAGCAAATATTTTTTGCACAATGTTTCAGACCCCCACTGGGGGGTGACCCCTAAGAACCCCAGTGGGGTCTGATTGGCAACAAATTTTTTTTTTTTTTCTTTTTCCAATAACCAACCCCCATGTGTGTGTGGGGGGTGGGGAAAACTGGGGGTACCAATCATTGTTGATATTTTTTTATCTAGAACTCCTCTTTCTAATTAGGTTAGGTTTAATCTCCTCAAAATCTCATACTTACTCAACTTAGGAGCCACATCCCTTTTGAGATTTTACAACCTAGGAGTCATACTCTAATTGAGGTTTGACCAATACCACAATCTCGGCCAATATTATCGCGCCACATGGCACCTTGCCTTGAGGTCATGGCATATATCCAAGATCCTAGACCCATGTGGTCCTACTCAAAATTACATCCCCAAACCTCCTATGTTAGAAGGCTTCCCCCTTCGTTTTTGGGTACAATGTCAATTGTTGAAATAAATATTTATAATAGTGATATCACTACTCACACGGTAATAAATTTATATGGTAAGGTTAGTGGAAACAATGATCGTATAAATTTATATTGGCCAATGACACTGCATAATATGATATTACCGTTGCAATCAATATGTGTTCAGATTGTTGGTATCATGGACCAATTTCAAATAATACTAGTTTTCTTCCTATGCTATGCACGAATTGCGTTTGAAACTTTCTTTATGTAAATGTGGCATAATTATATAGTGAAAGTATAAATGTACATTTAAGTAAAAATGGGAAGGAAAAAAAATTTGTAAAAGAATAAAAACCCATAAACTAATTTAAAAATATATTTTTAATTCAAAAAGAAGTTACAAAAAAATAATAATTTTGATGAGTAACTGTACAAATTTAAGTAAACACTTCGAAGTATTTTTGTATCCTTTTAAGATATATATATATATATATATATTTTTTTTTGCAAATTGCTTTAAAAATTAGATGTTAGACACAATTAACTTGAGTTCGCAATATTGTATTAGCGTCATATTCTTTTTTGTAATTGTATTTCGATGGTCAGTTTGTAATTCAAAGTGATTAGTATAGATTTTGAAAAATTAAATTCATTATAACAAAATTTTGATAACTATTTTTGTTTTCAATCATAATAATTTTGAAAAAAAGAAATTTTTGATCCCATAGAATAATTCATGCTCTTAAAGACAACAAAACGATCCCATTTAAAATGGTATAAAACTTAAGTAAATGTTGATCCAATAAGTTTGTCTCATTGCCTAATTCAGCTGATTTCTTAATTTATCTAGTTTGATTATACATATATTATATCACTTAGAAGATTAATTCTCACTTAAAAAATGACTAAAATTTTCAGTCAAAAACAATCCACTTATTACTTAACACTTGATGCGCTCATTGATTTAGAAAACTTATTTTACTTCTGATTTCGTTCCGAAATAACTCAGAGCATCGTTACCCATCTTTGCTTTTCTCATCAAAACTATCTCACCGTGTCTTGGCTTTTCTTGTTTGGTTCATAGATTTGAATCTGTTTGGTTTAATTTTAAAATTATAATTTGAGTGTTGAATTGAATTTTGAATTTTAAATTTTTAGATCATGATTTAAAAATATAAAATTTGTTTCGTTATGAGTTTTAAAGGCAGTTTTGAGATATTTCCTACTATTTTTTTGTAAAAAAAAATTTATTTATAGAATGTGAGAGAAGAGATGAAAGAGAAAAAGTGATTGATTGATTGAATAATAATAATAAATAAAAATAAAAAAAGAGGAGAGATTTTGAAAGTAATTTTGAGTTGAATTTTAAAAATATGTTTGGTTAACATATTTCATTCAAATCATGATTTAAAAATAGAGTAAAGTTTTGAAAAGTAAACCAAACGCTAACATAGATGAACTCTAAATCAAATATAACTACATTTCATTTACGTTTCACACACTGTTTTCTTTTCATTTTCTAAATCCCTCCCCAAATGTATGAACCAAACACAACTTTACGGAATCCAATTTCATCTATTGGGAATCCAGTTTCGTCTATTGAAGCATCCAAAGGTAAGTCTAGAACACCACTAAATTTTGAAATATAACGTTTATAATTGTGATTAAAATATTTTTTTACCAATTTTATTAGTGTGATAAAAATATCTAATTAAATATTTCAACATAAAAAGTTAAAATTTTAATTATTTTCAGACTCCAACAGCTTTTATACATCAAATAACTTAATTGAATCAGTATTTAAATTTCAGTACATATCAAACAATTTTTTAAAGGGCGCTCACGCCAATAGTCCAAAATTGAAATGTTTTTGTCCAAAGGTCCAAGCGTTGATTTTCTTTGTCCATAAGGACAAACCCTCGCAAAATGACCAAAATACCCATAATATATATATATATATATCTATGATTCTCTCTCAATTCTCATTTCCCAAACTCTCTCTCTCTCTCACCAGCGGTCTTACAGTTGTCATTCCTCCTCTTTGGTGTCACCATGGCTAAAAATCTCAAATCAGCCGCAAATCCTCTTCCTCTATCGTCGTCGTCGGTGTCCTGGGCTCGTTTCTCTTCTTCATCGGCTGGTTTGTTCACCTAATTTGCGTCCCCCCCACACAAGTCAACCTTCGTAGATTCGGCTCATCCTCGTCGTTCATTCGATTCCCGATCCTTCTTCATTTCTTGGTCCTCTCTTTTTTTGCTTGAATGTCGCCTCGCCGCCACGCTGCCTCGCATTTGATCAGATCGCCACCATGAAGTGGGTTTCAGAGTGAAACTAGAGATCTAGCGAAGATTTGGCGCCACCATCTTCGCGACTCCAACTCCACCGTCCATTTTAGACCTCCTCACAATGTCGACTGTGCGTGCATACATATACATATATATATACACACACACACACACATGCTGATATGAATTATATGAACAGATTCACTCCTCTAAAATCCTTGTCGTCTACCGCCATAAATCTGGATCTATGAATGATGATGATGATGATGATGATGATGATGAATAGATTCACTTCTCTTTATGTTTT